TCAAATTAGATATTTAATCCTTATGAGGCAGAAAATTCTTCCCGAGAGCGTAAAGAGTCTTAGAGACTCTATGGAAACGAAAAGACGGTATACAAGGTCGAAAATCCATTTAGTCTTCAATTAGTGAAAATCGTTCTTCTGTGCTGAAATTCGAGCAAGATTTACCTTCATGGAACTTCATTAAATACTATAAAAGTCTTTTTTGAAAATCTTAAGAGACGCATCACAAATTGATCACATATCTTGAAAAGAAAAACTAGATAATATTAGTCGCTGCTTTAAACTCATAAAAGAAAAGTGCCAAATTATTTACACTTTAATCAAAACGAAATATAAAGCTTTAATCCCACTTTTAACCAAATTATGATATTGTTATGAAACTGGCACTATAGAAGAAGACTTGACGTATTCCTGTCTTAATAATCCCATTTAACAATGAGTCAAATTAAATTTTGTGTGTTTGGTCGCTGGATGGCCGTCATGAACAAATTTATACATAGTAAACTTAAGTTTTTCATTGAATTAACACTGACTGAAGTTTCCAAAGCGAAAAAGGTTGAACTCTTTTTCTGCCTTTTTGTAGTCAATCTACTAAGTTTTATTTTTCTATTTATTTTTAAATCGATCATATATCCCTTTTGCTAAAGGTAGATATTGTCATAGAATAAAGAAATGTAAGTTTCTATACGGTCATTACCAGAGATTAATTTGAAGTGGACCTGCGCTATACTGATCTCGAATTTCGAGTTGATAAGCTAAAGAGGAAAACAGAAACGAGTTTCTTTCTCAACTTCGTGTCCAGGAGGAGCATTTCATGGGGAATAGCGAGGTGATCGCTTAATGCAGGTTCCAAAGAATAGGGGTATCATAAAAGAACGATGAAAAACGCCATTTTATGCCTAATTGACCCCTCATGTACAAAATATCGCTCAAAAATACTGTTAACATTGATTTCGGGAGTTAAACATGGATTAGATTTTACTTTAAAGATTATACCCAATTTTATTTGAGTGGTTCCACTATAGTTGATTGTTCAATACAGGTCCTGAGCGATACAATCAGGCCGTCGGGACTCAGTAAGGGGTGACCAAGACCGCTTACTAGAGTTGAAAATTACAGTACTACGGGGAAAAAAATTCGGAAATTTGAAAACCGAACGCTTAGACGGAGTGACCGCTAAATACAGCTTCGACTGTATTACCAACCGCAGTCTTTCTCACGGTGAACATGATCATTCCAGCCCAAATCAACCGACGCTCGGAACGTCAGATCTGAAACTCTTTACGGTGGCCAATTTACGTTATCACTGAACTCAGTAGATAATTCTAAATTACCTTGTGAAATCAATCGACAGTTTGCATGGGTAATAGAAATATGCAACTGCATGATTTCAAATGGCCTTATATTAAAACATCGATCAAACAGACAAAAGGTTGGAACAAAACAAAAACACTGACAAAAATAATTAAGTGAGAAGGAACGATCTTTCAGTGGATTGGTTGGAACAAGGAAGAACATTTGTGCGATAAAATATCACCTATTAGGTACTTTTATGGACTGAAATGGTTCAAATCTACGTGCAATCAACTGAATCTTTTTTCTTTTTTTCCACATCTTTCATATTTTGAAGAGGACCGTGAGAATTGTCTTCTTGTCTCTTCTTCTTCGTCACTACCAACTAATACGAAATAATAACACCAGCAACTTAAACGAGAGACTTTAACAGGTTACTTCATATAACTTTTCAGTAACTTACTTAAGGTGTGTAACTGTACAATATGGCTTAAAATAATACCTTAATATCGGGTCTGAGTCGGAAATTATAATGTAACCATTTGCTGAGGTTTAATTTTATCTATGGTTACCAATTTCGCATTTTCTTTACGTACGACAAGGTAACAAATTCGAACGAAGAAAAATTAAATTCGAACCTAGGACTCAAATTGATCGAAGGGTTAATAGACTGACTATGGCTGAGTAGCAAAAGATTTTAAACAGTTAAAAATCTCATGTGAGAAGTTATTTTAAACTCATATGGCTCTTGTGTTTATTCCACGTATGACAGTAATCCATGCATGTGTTGACTAACCGAGTGCTTAGAGTGCTTCGACATCATGTTGCGTGATAATTAATAGCCACTGAATGAATTAACGCTACTGGCAACAGTCTATTCCCAACTACTTGGTGGGTAAGTTGCTGATCACAAGAAAGTTTATTGTAGCATGTTATAAGATATAAGCTGCTTTCATATCCCTTCTTTTTCCATTACCCCTCTCCATCGTTTCTTTTTCTCATTTTTTTTTTCTTCCTCTTGTCATATTCAGCACCCGGACCGAGAACTTGAGTTTTCCATTTACCAATATCTAACTGCTAATCGGAGTGGATGAAAGATTCTTAATGTTCAGATGCAGCTTTCATTTTATATGTTTAATATAACTCCTTAGTTACTGGACAAAATAAAAAATTTGCGCATGAAAACATGATCAGAAAATGTTTGAAAAAAAAACCCTTGCTACACGAATGTAGATGCTAGTTTATCCCGAAGGAAGAAAAAATAAAAGCACCATTGTGCTTTACCCAAAGTTTTCATCTTTTTATCAAAGATCTTAAAGTTAATTCCACATCCTTACTAAGGAATAGTCCAATACATTAAGACCTTGATTCGGGCTTGCACCGAAGATATATACTATTTAGAGTTAAAGGGTTAAGTTATGAGTTTAAGATGAAAGAGAATTTAGTTTTGTCATTTTATACTGTAATCTATTAAGCAGAAGTATGCAGGTTCTAGTTGCTTTCCTTAATTTTCAAAGAGAAGTTGGTATCCCAAATGGATTTCTACAAAAAATTCCATAAACACCTTGATTTAGGTGTGCTTTAAAATTGTATATAGAAAGTTTTTTTAAACAAGCCAGTAAAACTAAGAGTTCATGCAGCTGCGTTATGAAAAGACAATTCAGCGTCTAATGAGCAGAAGCCTGCAGGTTCAAGCACTTCTCGTTATTTTTCAAAGAGTACTTTGTTCTTCGTGAGGATTTCTACCAAAAACTGTCATTAACCTGATTTTTTTAATTCTGTAGGCCATAATCCTTACCTGAATGTTTGCTTTGTTCCGCTTCGTCCTATATGAAAATGTGATGTCCTTTTTTTCGCTTTTAAAGAAAACATTTGAACATCGTATTTATAACAGGCTATCATTGTTTCTCTCTTGATTGGATTATTCTTAACAACCGAAGGAATATCTGTCAAAACAAGAAGCGCTTATTTACAAACTACAATAGATAATTAATTGCTAGCTCACAATATTATTTCCAAGTAGGTAGAATATACATCTTTTGTCGATCCAATAAGGTGTTAGAAAGTGATAAATTCGTCTAGGTCTTGATACACGTAATACTTACTAGCCGTAGTTTTGAGAGAATCAGCTCGTATGTGCTTTGCCAGATCTTATTCTCAGAATAGAGAGAGATTCAATATGACATAATCAATATTAGCCGGACTCGGCAATTTTTCTCAAAAACATCTTGGTCATGTCCTTATGGTAATTTCTCATTGTACTCATATCACATAATAGGAAAATTATAAATTACCACGTCGTGAAACACCCCGTGCCAAACAAAACCCAAGTTTATGTAAATTGCTTTATTTTCGACGGCTTTTAGCTCTTGGTTATGAATTTGTTGGAACTGTTTTGTCTCACTCGAGTGAATAACAAAGCCATCATTTGTTATTGATAAGAAGTTTTGTTTAACCCGCATCTGTGGCTTGAAATTTCTGTTAGAACATGACTGAAATTTTTTCTCGAAAAAAATAAGAAAAGCCGGGAACTACTTGCAGGCTAGTAAAAGTTCTTATCGGTTGGGTAAACATTGAAATTTTATCAGTTGGAAATATTTCAAAATATTCTGATAGATATGCTCGGGCCAATATACGCACAAAAGACACGAGGAGGATGTATTTCTAAACTTTCCTTTGAGGGCCAAAAACTGGCATTTATTGAGACTCTTAATAGCCCTTGTTTGTAACGTCTGTCTTTTATGGCAAGGGCAGACAATTGAAATGCAGTCTGAATGTCATGTACTGGTTCATGAAAAGTGTCTGAGTTTTCAGTCCAAAATTTTTTTTCGAAGCGTTATTTGTCAAGAAAAAAATTGCTCTTTTGAAATCAATTTTGAACGAGATGGGAGATATCAAGTACAATTAAAACTTGCCGAAATCTCTTTAATTAGTAAAAGGATGTTCGATCATATCAAAGTGTCCGCTTCCAAATTGAAAGATATTGTACCGAAAACAAAGATAGATACGAGAGCGAGTTGAGCAAAGCTAAAATTGCTCAGATCTACATGCTATATAGAAGTCGGACATTCACGCAGGCATTAAGATTTTCCTCTTTTTTTTCTGGGAGAGTCTGATAAAAACTTTCTCAGCAAAGAGAATTTCGAGGACATATCACCAATTAGCACTATTACAGCAGTAATGACAAAAGACGATAGAGAAAAAAACTCACTGCAATAGAATTTACGCGTGTTAAGTTAACAAATCCTCACCTCAGCCCTCTGATAAAATTAAATTGTGAAACCAATAGTTACTTGGACAGAAGGTTGCGACCATTCTAATTTATTTTTCCATTCGTGGTCTTAACTAAACTTCTCTCTACCTTCATCCCACTTGTACAAGTTTGTTTGTTTTGGAGAGCATTAACAATCAACGGCACCCTTCCACACCACGAGGATCAAGATTTCAAAAAACCCAACTGTATTTCTACGGTCCAAGCTAATGTGGTCTAATTGTCCACCGAAAATAATTTTGAAAACACCGGCCATGCGTCCTCTTATGTAGAATGAACTTGCTGACTTTGGAAATTTTGGTTGGAGGTTATGATAACAGAGAAAAAAAAAGAAAAGAAAAACCTGTTGTGCGCATGCTCGAGTATGCAGACAAGATTTGGGTCGATGATAACACGTGCAACGACAGCGCAACGATGCGCAGTTAGAGTCATAAATGCCTTTCCTTGCAACTTCAAATTTTTACGAAGAACACTGAAAGTTGTACTAAAGTGGAGCGAGGCTTTTCTTCGTTTCAGGTGATTGGTAAAGCAAGATTCAAATATATACGTATTTTATAAATCACATTCAAAGAGAATTCTCGAAGAGCTGGGCTATTCTTTGAACTAATGAATAGCGTCCAATGTAATAACTTCAGGGATTCTATTTCAATGGCGGTGAAAAAAATTAGCTAGCGTCAGCTTCTGCTGCATACTACTTCTTTGAGGAACTTAGCTACTCTTGCAAATCATGGCTCGCCATCCAACTGTTACCAAGAATGAAAAAATGATGTTACGAGACTGTTAGTTTATAAATCTACAAGAATTTTTAAAGGAATGCGGCTTGAAAGTTTACTAATAAATTGTCCAACATTTAAAACTTCGTATCTTCCGAAAACTGAACAGGAACTTCCTGTGATTCAGGGACAGTTTCATTCGCTGGATTCTCAGAGTCTTCAGCAAATGCCTGGTGAGTTATGCCAACTTCCGGTTCACTGATGTTCCCCAACCTTGTTGCCGCTGATCCACACAGCGCTGACGCGTCCATCTCGAACTCAGTTCCTTTTGCTGCTTTCATTTTTTCCCGGCGGGATATCCAGTGGAAGGTGACCGCGATAAGTACTAGGACGGTGATATAAGCAACAACTAACCCGATTAATAATTTCTTTTCAGACCGACTCGGGGCTTCAGTGGTCTTCCCACCTGTGTCTAGAGTTAAGAAAAAAAATAGTTGTTTGGAGAAGAAATTTGTCATGAGAACGCAAAGTTTTTCTTGGATTTCAGTTAGGTTCGCTTTTTGAGAAACGCTGAAAGGGGAACTACCATGAACTTATATTATTGACTGAGTGAGAGGCCTAAACGGGAGAATATTTGGCTCGACGTCATGAATACAGACCGAGCGCAAAAAAGATTTTACATTAAAAGCTTTTCCTGAGTGAGTTACTTGATGCATCGCAACTTGTAAACAAAAATCGTTCGTTCGCACTTTCCAACGAATAATTTATCTCTATTTATGCCATGGTAAAATGAGAAACGATGATAACATACGCAGAAATAAGGAAATCTTTTTTAGTAAACACGGAAGTGTCCCCACTGCCTTAATACTGAGAACTTCAAAGTCAGAGTAAATGTGTTTAATGTCACATGTTAACACATATACCTTTCTCTTGGGCAGTTGATGGGCCGCCTGTAGGAGACAAAGCTGTAGGTATAGGTGACGCTGGAGAGGCCGATAGGAAGGATTGAGCTGAAGACCAAGCTGTAGGTGTAGGTGACGCTGGTGGGGCTGATTGGGAGGATTGATATGAAGACCAAGCTGTAAGTGTAAGTGACGTTGGAGGGGCTGATTGGAAGGATTGAGCTGAAGACCAAGCTGTAGGTGTAGGTGACGCTGGTGGGGCTGATGGGAAGGATTGAGCTGAAAACCAAGCTGTAGGTGTAGGTGACGCTGGTGGGGCTGATTGGAAGGATTTAGATGAAGACAAAGGTGTAGGCGAAGGTGACGCTTGATGGGCTGTAGTCGAAACTGTTGATGATGGACAAGGCGTTGTTTAAAAAAGAGGAATATGGAATATAAATATGATAATGAAAAATGACTAAAACATCAACGTTGCCTTTCTTGAAAGTATTTAGAGTGCTATATTCTTACAATATCACTCAATGTTTGGAGTGACCCGTCGGAAGATGCACAAAGAATTTAAGAGCGGCACTGGCTTCGGTATTCGGGATCTTGAGTCTCAAATGAAAAAAAAAACAATTCGGTTTTGCTATGAAGAGATCCGTGATCCCTGGGTAAATATTACTGGGAGCAGGGATGGGGCAGTGATGAGAGTGCTCGCCTCCCACCGCTGTGGCCTGGGTTCGATTCCCGGAGTTGGCGTCACATGTGGTTTGAGTTTCTTGAAGGTTCTCGCTCTGGCTCCGAGTCTCCGAGGGTTTTCCTCCAGGTCCTCAGGTTTTCGTCCCTCCACTAAAAACCTCATTCCAAATTCGAACTGGAAACGGTGGACAAGAAGAGCATGTCCATTTATAAATTACAAACAGAAAAACTGAAAAAAGATATTTATTGGAAAGAAATGTATAGGAAACTCCTGAGGTGGAGGAAACATGTCAATGTCAAGTTAAACTAAAAAAAAACCCAAGTATCTTAGGTCTTTTGAAAGAGCATTTGATGTAACTCATGTAGAAACTGTTTACACTTTTCAGAGTGATAGGAAGCGAAAGTGATGGCTAAAATATGAATCCTCTTACAACAGTTAACACTGATGGAAGTTAATCACAATATTAAGTGATTGATAGCCCCGGAAACTAATAATGTTTAGCTGATTTACTCGAAACACAAAAATCGACTGTAAAGATGTGCTAGAAGATAATGGTCTTGACGCAAGGATCATCACCCAAAATTTATTCTTTAGGGTATAGTGTATGTATCCCAAATAACCTCAAAAATCAAAACGGGACAAAGTTTCCGGGTCCTTACGAAAATTCTGTCAAAAACGTAGAAAAGAAAATCCGGCCATCGATCAGTCTATCAGTTGGGCAGTCTGGCAAGACTCCACATTATAAATTCAAGCTTAGCTAACTATATGAACCCTATAATGGCCTGCTACTCAGCAATTAACGCGATTTCCGTCTCGATCGAAAATTAAAATCGGTTAAACGTTTTACTTCAGTGAAGGAAATTTAAGCGGTCGTTTGTGTAGGCGCGGAAACTTTCATCAATCAACAAAAAAAAAAAAAACTGAATCCGTACGTGCATGTGTGACGTTTTTGCTTTCAACACTGAGGTTTTTTTTATCAAGAAACTACAAATTTAGCAAAATCCCTCAGATAGGGTTGTACAAATCAGTTTGAGATTATTTTATCTTACCTGATGAGCTAGAGGCAGAGGTCGGAATGGCCAAAAATAAAACGTAACCGAGGAAGAGACCAAGGTACATATAATTCTGAGACATTTTATGCTTGAGAGATGAGTCTTCGGATCAAACACCGATGGGCTGTACGTGAAGAGTTGCACCGTCAGTCTGATTCAACCGACCGATAATCATCGACCCTGAACCCAGTGATCTGTTTATCACCGCTGATGCAAATCTACCACTGAGGAGAGGGGACCTTGGGTAAGGAAATCGTCTTCCAGCAGCCGGTTTCGTTACATTTCCGGTTTTCTACGGTTCGAATTCGCTACTTATTCGCTCCACCGAACATCGTGTTTGTTACATCAGTAAATCCAGTTTGCTATTTCATTTTTTAAATCACAATAACGATACAGCGAAAACGTCGATTCGATACTTACCCAAAAATTTACGTATTGAATTAAATCGAACTTTTGCTCTCTGAAAAGCGATATTAGCAACAGACTTGCAGTTAAGTTTCTCCCTCAGTCCAGTGCATCTCGACACGATCGTATAAAGCCAGTTCGAAAATCGTTGAAGCTTTGGAAACAAAACCCCAAGAGCGAGCTAACATATCCCCCCTCCCTGTTGTGCAACAAGTGGAATAGATGGACGCACACACCCCCCCCCCTCACACACACCTGTTTCCGCTTTTTTCTTAAGATTCTAAGCGTATGGTTTTTTCCTTTTTTAAATCAATTATTTCTCTTGTCTGGACCTTTCAATCCCTATTATCTGCTCACTGATTTTTTTTCTAAAATGACAGATCTTCGACCCCCTTCGTCCTGCAGAAATCCAATACCATGGATCACTGCGACTCATCGATCGAGTTTCCGCCAGAGTCCAGCTGGCAAAACGAATCAATTTCCGGTATTAGACTAAAATCCCATTTATCATCAAAAATCAAATGTTGAAATTCTTAGATCAGTAGATGCTATTTAACCCTAATGGCCTAACTCAGCTTCTTTTTAAGAAATTTCAGCGATCTTAGTAACTGTTAGCAATCAAATGAAAATGTACTCTCATTATGATATAAAGCGGAAACAACACAATATCGTAGGTAGCAAGCGAGGTCAGGTTCGTGATTGAGCGCGTTGCTGCGGTTTAATGATTATTTCAGTTCGCAGCGTTTGAAGCGCGGTGTTGATATTGACCTACAGATTTGACGAAGATGAACGCGTTACTGCGGTTTAATAATCATTTCTGTTTGCGGCGGTTGAAGCGCGGTGTTGATATTGACTAACAGATTTGACAAAGATGAACGCGTTACTGTGGTTTAATAATTATTTCTGTTCGCAGCGGTTGAAGCGCGGTGTTGATATTGACTAACAGATTTGACAAGGATGAACTGCTTTGGGTAGGAATTATGAACAAAATTTTCTGTGGCAGGTTATGATGTTGTGGCATACTGAAATTGAAAATGAATTGAAGTACATGAAATAACTATCTCAAGAGCAACTGTTTCCATAGCTGTTGGAGGGTATGTTGCTACGTTTGTCAAAATGTTGGATATCAAAAATATCTGCAGCATTCCAGTAAGAAAAGAGAAATGAAAAACAGTAACCTAAGGAAAAACTTAAGCTACTACATCAAGAACATGACTCAAGATCGATCCGATACCCCATGCAGTTGTTAAGAACTCGTAACCATGATGGTAAACTCAACATTCCTTCTGGATATAGGGCACCATCCATACTTCATTTGGAGCTCTCCGAGTTAAACTAATTTTTCTTACCTTTAACAACAAAATTGGAATTTCCAATCAAGAGAGAAATGAATAGAAGCGTCAAACAGTGTCCTGAGGTCATCTTAAAACATATATTTCCAATTCCACCGGTTCACCGTCAGACGTCAGTAAGCCGGGTGGGCTTCAATAGTGAGCCATTTTGTTTCCTTTTGATATGACGCTGAAACCTCAGAAGAGAGGAGATTGGAACGAGACACACTGCGTCTCGACCCAGCCAGTTCCCGTACGAACCACAATCTGCGAATCGCTTTCCCTCTATGCTCGATTGTAAGAGACACGATACGACCAAAAAGTATTCCAATCGACCGTCAGCCAGTTTTTTTCTTTTTATTTTATGTCGTATCCGATCCAATAATATCCATTGTAAGGCAATTTTCAAATGAGTGCCGAAAAAGGCCGGAAAAGATGAGTGCGGAATCATACTAACTTACCGGTCCTTACTGTGCTTTGTGATTGATTGCAATGGCAATATCGATCACGTTTTTCAAATGCATTTGCTCCTAACTGTGAATTTTGCGTATCGCCGGAATCATAAAAAGTTGAATGCGTTTTGAGGTTGCAGGGAGCCGCCATTTTTAATCTTGCCTAGCTAGCTAACTCCGTGATTACTCGAGTCGAATGAAACAAAGTCTCGCACTACTTTCTTTATCTCTTTGAGATCTGATTGAAGATTTGGCGCCACAAGAAAAGGCGTCCTTGACTCATTTCTAGCAATAACTTGAGCTGCAGGTGTTTGAAAACCGTGGGTCTTACGTGCGCAGACAGCTCTCCGAATCGATTTAAATGACGTCGTCTAAAATCGAGTTTTCAGCACCTTTGAAGTAAGTTTTCGAACGGGTAGTTTCTTCTTTATAATCGCGCAAGTAGCGTTAAGAATTAAATATTTTTTTATTCAGTTTCGGGACGTTATTTCCTTATAAAAATTTCAGAATTTCGCTGACACGCAGTGAAGTCGACGCACTATTCCACAGTCTTGAAGGTGCCACAGATAAGTCTTTTGCAAATGTTAAAAACTCTACAACCCAAAAAACTACTAATAAAACGGAGATCGTTTCCTCCGATGTCGAGCCGGGTTTGAAATAATTGCCCACAAAGTACATTTACGGAAGATCTAGGACATTTCCACTCCTTGAAAATCTCGTCTAACATGCAAACTGTAAACAGATAGAAATGATTTCGAGAGGAATTAACCTCAATGATCAGCGCTTCGTCCACACTACGTAGATTAAGAATCTATTTCTACGGCTACGTCCACCAGTCAGGCTACTTAATTCGTCCAAACAGTCTACCAAAAACAAAGTGCAACTTATTCACAAAATTGAAAACAATGGCTTTGTGTCTTCGTTTGTTATAAGAAAACGCTGACTTAACCGCTCTTTTATTTTTTTGCCGTGATAGAAAAAAAAAACAACAACTTGTTTTACGCATGCCCGAGGATGCAGTCAACTGTAGTAGCTGGAGATGATCTTCCTGTTCAATTTTCTGCTGTGGACTAAAAACTATCATCCATTTCCTAGTGTGGACGAAGGATTTTGTAGCTTTTTACTAATAAAAACGCCGTGTTTAAGATTATCCAGGTAATGTAAACGGGCATCATAGCATCGATGTTTTCAAGAAATACTCTTCTAATCAAAATGAATAAGAGAGAGACGCATTTAAGTTGGCCGACTGTTCCTTAGCCGTAGAGCTGCTATGGATAAGACTCTACAACAATCTTGCTGATTCTAAAACTCCTTTTTCTGATCAATTTTCTTACTCGACGTTACTCGATCGATGATATAAAGCGAGTCAGCTATTCTAAGATACTAAGGCCCGCATAGCAAACTACTACGGTGGTACTGAAGTAGAATGGTGTTTAGTAGATAAATCTACAAGAATTTACAATGTAAATGAAGTTTATGTATTTTTTTTTGTCCTCAACTTAAAACTTTGTGTTGTTATTAAAGAGAACTGTAACATTCTCTGGACTCTCGGAGTCTTCAGCAACTGCTTGGTGAGTTATGCCAACTTCCAGCGGTGACGTGTTCATCTGTAACTCATCTCCATTTGTCGTATCCTTTTTCGTTTGGCGTGACAACCAGTAAAGCATGGCTGCAACTACTGCCAAGGTGACGAAATAGGCGATAACAAACCCGCTTAAACGCCAAGCTGAGAAAGAAAAAGTATGTCTTAGTTTCTAGTTCAAAACGAAATTTAAAAAAAGCAGCGCAATACTATCGATATTCAATAATTGGGGGAAATGTCCCCTAACAAACTTAAGCTTTACTCTCTTCCAGGGCATGAGAAATTTATATCCGTAACAAATAAAAGGCGACCATGAATAATTTTCGAGTGATCTAAGACTTATATCGATTTATATCGATTTGTACGTCAGGTGTACTTGAATCTCATACTTTTGAGTAAGCGCAAAAAACGTTTTTCTACCGACAAGACTCTGCTGATCTGCTAATCATTTGTTTCGATAGGTGGAAGGCTTGCAGCAATGTCGGAACGGGGCCGGGAGTCCTCATGTCGATTGTCGGTTAGAATTTCATCACTTTGTGGGTAGTCGGTTAAATTTTTGTATTTCTAATGGTAGTCAGTAAATCTGAATAATGATTCAAAATGCAAGTTAATTATTCATATTCGTTGTGGGCGGACGTTGTTCTCAGAATGAGCCCGCGCTCCTTCACTGCCATTAAAAAGTTTGAAAAATTCTTAAATTTGAGTTGTTTACCTCTTAAGCAGAATGCTCTTCTTTCTGAATACATAAACATCGATAATTTTGAACCATGTCCTTTGTCGCTTAATATTTTCTTGTCGCTAATTGGTAATTATTTTTGCGTTTTGTCAGTAGTCAGTTGTTGCAAGTCGGTTTATTTTGTTCAGACCCTCTTACAGATTATGCTTTTATACTTACTCTTCGATGAAAATATACGGAAAATATGTCTGTGTTAAAGTGTTCAGTCTTTTACAAGTAGTGCGTGCGTCAATGAATCTAGCCTGTACCAGGCATTCAGAGTGCAAAACGGAGCGGAACAGAAATTGTGTGATAGTAGCGGAGGAGGGAGGGAGGGAGGGAGGGAGGGAGGGAGGGAGGGAGGGAGGGAGGGAGGGAGGGAGGGAGGAGGAGGGAGGGAGGGAGGGAGGGAGGGAGGAGGAGGAGGGAGGGAGGGAGGGAGGGAGGAGGAGGAGGGAGTTTTTGGTCAGGTACGCGGGTAGATGTGGGTAGCATTGCCCCAGTTGGATCATCTGAAATTCGTTGAAATTTTCAAAAAAAATTAACTCTTTATTCTCATACTAGTTAGCTTAGACATATTTGATTACACGCTTACCTCTCTCTGGCGCAGAAAGTGTTGACTCTCTTGAGGAATTTTCTGTTTGATAAGCGAAAGAGGAAATGTAAATTTAGAGATCAAGGTTATGGATAACAGCTCTTTACCCCTGACTTCCATTATAACATTCAGAAACGTAAATTCCTGCAATATCACTTAATATATAAAACGTATTAAATTAAATTGTATAAAACACGAAGTACTAGTCAGACCTTTTCCCTGAATGAAGTGTTGTGTAGTTTGAAGTTATAATTATAAATTTCGAGCCTGATTTGTCTAAGAATCGACATTATAATTTTGTATTGCAATTAATGTTTTGTAGCATCACCCTCATGAGGACAATGCAGGTAGTGGATGTTATGAGCGACCAAATATTTTCACTCGCGAGGAACAGGTCCAAAGGAATCAAGTGGCCAAATACTCTATCTATTATTGATAAATATCGATTTTCTCTGATGATTTTTAAGCTTTCCGATGCAGTATTGAATTTAAGTAACGTTCACACGGATTCTTTTTCATTTGTTTAATTGGAGACGTATAACTTTAAACATGACTGTGTGAAAACTGAACGCCTGTAAATTTCCGATCTTACCCTCTCTTTTAAAAAGTTCAAAACAATCTAAAAGACCATGATGGAAACTGAAACAGGACGCACTAAAATGAATTGCGGAAATCTCGCAAGATCAGATAAGTATTTATGAGAACAGGAATGAACTGTAACAGAATAATGAACGAAGATTATTCCTAAAACGAATTTAACATGTTAGTGCCTAACCATTGCAGAGGAGGAAAATCATATCGAGTTAAAATAAAAGTAAGAATCGAAGTTCTCTCGAACAATAGAGCACTTGCTATAATCAATGCAGAAACTGTTTACACTGACAAGTAGCGGAACCTAATTTCAAGAATGTGATCAATTTTGCATAATATATTAGCCTGTAAGGATTTTTTAAATTACTGTTATAAGTCAAAACACAAAAGATGGAAAATATTTTTAAAGATAGCAGACTTAAAAACTTAACTCGAGGATCAGAGCAAACACGTACTATTAGGTGTGAGTGTATATATCCCAAATAACTTTGTAGTATCGAAATCTCAACGAAGTTTCCGGGTCAGTATGCAGATTGAAAATACAACGAGAAATGAAGAAACAACCACTTGGTTGTTTCTATGAATTATCCAGTCTATCAAGCCTCCAAGTTAAGATTTCAAGCTTGGATACATTTATGAAGCTTAGAGTGGTCAGTTACTTTGCAATTTAGGAAATTTCCGCACGTATCTTACGTGAAGTAAAAAAAATACACGGTCTGTGAAAGAGCGGAAATTCTCAACAATAAGTGTGGGAGACTAGAAATGTAAGAAAACCCTAATCCAGGATTAGGATTATTTAACTTAGTAATTTAATAGGAGATTATTTTATCTTACCTGTTGGGGCAGAGGAATCAGCGGTCTGAATGTTCATAAATAGAACGTTACAAAGGCACAGACCTAAACACAGAAAATTCTGAGACATTTTATACCCGAGAAAGTTTCCTTCAGATCGAGAGCTGATGAATTCCACCTTAATAGTAACAGTGTAAGTCTGCTTCTAATGTCTAATATTAAAATGACAAGTACCGAAATCTTAAAGGTCACGTTATCATCAACGGTGCATATCTGCTTCGAGGGGGAGGAGGAGGACCCCAGGCAAGGAAATTGGCAAAGCCACTGTGATAATGTAATAATGTTGGTACCGACGCAAGGCAGTTCGGGAATCCACGTCGACCAATAAACTCCCCTCTTCTCTCCCCCCCCCCCCCCCCATTCCCCTACCGACTCCCCCACTAACGGTTGTCACAGTGGTGACTGACGTTTCGACAACCTCAGCGGAAGGCATATCATCAGAGCCAAGTAAGTTGACTTGCCTTTGCCTTCCACTCAAGTTGTCGAAACGTCAGTCACCACTGGTGACAACATTCCTTCTCTGGACTACACTCACCCGGACGAGCAGTCTTCATTATCTACCCCTGGATTCAAACCATTTACTGTGTTTCTGCTCTGCTAAACTACTATGGACTTCTTCTAAACCTCATTTGCAGCTGATTAGATAAAAATACGTTTGCCTCATACTATATCTCAAATCATTTGATGAGTGCCAACATCTCGTTTTGTCTGTTGAGTTTTGGATACCAGATTGTGGGTCACATCTCCCTTAATATCTCTAGAGCTTGTCAATAAATTTCCACCAAAATATCAGCAAACATTACTAATATTTAAGTTATTAGAAACAGCTACGGTAAGTTTCCGGTGTTGGCTGAAATCCTCTTAATGATGATAAAAAACTGTAAGTAATCGTAAGTGGTATGCCAACCTCTGTTACGCGTTAGAGGGTTAGAATAACTTATTTCTATGAAATTCTAGCGATCCCAGTGAAAACTAACGACCATAGTTGTAAAAGAGAAACTCTCATAGCGAGATCCAATGAGGATCGCAGATAGTATATATCAGCAAGCGAGGTCACAGTTTGATTTTCGATGATAACTGATGGGTGGAGTGCGATAATTATAGCCGTTCACTGTAAATTGCGGTGTTGATATTGACGCCAACAGGCCATCTTTATCAAAACTTAACTGCTCAGTGTTGGGACAACGAACAAAATTGCCCACACCATGTTACTGAACAAGACTCCAACTGAACCAGCCGGCCAGAGAGTAACTGTTACCCGCCAAGGTTGTTCTTATGTTGCCTTATTAGAGAGCCTCAGTAGGGTGATAGCTTTTCCAGCCTAGTATATATTACGGCTGAGGTTTAATTTCTTTCCTCTAAGTCTAACAGAAAAAGTTTTGACGGTTACTTTTTGTTACGACTAATCAATATTCACTTCTAGCGGCTTCACATTTTTGCCATATTACGGCTAGTGGTTAACCACATTATTAATCTTATTGCTCTGTTTGTTTACATGTCACTTCGCGACAAATCTTCCTTCATCTTAAAGAAAGAAGAACAAATATACAACAACGGCAACAGCAACAGCATGTTCTGAGGTCGATCATGCCCAATGAAACTTATCATGAGCTCATCTTAATTATCGGAACATTAAACATTTTGTCTGGGTACGGGGGCATAGTGGGTGGTAAATTTTGACCTCCATGACTTGAACAAGCTTTTCTTACCTTTCGCAACAAAACTGAGATTTCCCAGTAGGAAAGAGACGAACAGAGACGTCAAACGATGTTCATAGTTCATTTTACATCATACATTGGCGAATCCGGTAATTCGGCCGTCTGCATGTTGTTAGCCATGATCTACATGACCCAGTTTGTTTTTCTTTTGACAGGAAGCTACATCTTTCTGTACGAGAAAAGGTTGGGACGAGACAGACCGAGTCCCGAATCAGCTATTTCATATGTAGACACAATTAACGATCGCCGACCTTCCAAGCGCAGATGTTTACAGAAGAGAAAAAATAAGACTAAATAAATTAGAAGTCTGCGCAACCTATTTGGCATTTTATGAGGTTGTATTCGATGGAATGAGCCTCTAACGAAAGCAGGCTTAGAAAAATTGCATATTACGCTGCTACCATTGCCCCATTTTGCACAGTCATATGCTTACAACTATGCTGGAACTATTTTTGTTTAGGATGCTGATAAAAAAATACACAGAAAACAACTCCAAAATCATATATCTATTGCTAACAATTTACACATTTGCTCTTACAAAATATTTTTAACTACTGGACTTCACAACAGAATAGAAGACGTGACTTAATGGGCAAAAAAACGTGAGGATGTAAATAGTATAACAATGAACCCTTCGTACCGCCAGTAAGAGTGACTAACATCTTACTTCTCCTCACAATACCACCCCTGATTCATATACCAAGATCACAAGAATAAAGGAAATGATCACCAACCAAAGAAATTCTCGATCTTTAAACAAATTCTCCTTGTCAGCACCTGAGGGAATGTATGGGGAATATGCATACTGATGTTAGGGCGTCAGCTAGGGGTTATTGTGAACTAATATAAGTCTGTCGGCACCTTTTCCCTTGGCAACGAAAGAGGCAGTAATGTGATAACACTCTCCCTCCACAAGGCGAACGAAAATAATAATGATAATGATAATATTATAAAGGATAACCCCGTCAGTGTAATAAGCGCTGGTATCAAAGGGGGTCCCGTTATTAGAGTACATAAGTAAAAATACAAAAGGTTAAAAGGTAAAATTGTTACAAGGCTGAAATATATAAAAAACAAAGTGTACATCTACACATGAACTCGATCGATCTTTTAAAGATCAAACAAGGTACAGCTATTTTTAACCCTTCCACTCTCAAGATGCCATTTGAAATTCTCCTTACTGTCTGCTATACAATTCTCGTGATGTTAGTTTGGAGAATTTAGTATTGGATCAAACAATAATCCCTAAATTGATTTATTTCTCTATTCTCGTCACTTTTCTGATTGATATCGTATTGATATTGTAAGGAGAAATTATGACTTGGTCACTCATGGGAGTTAAAGGTTAAAACCTGATAATGGTTCATTTGAAAGGACTAAATATGTGTGATTAAGCGCTCTCTTTTTCGAAAGAGAATAAAAGTTTAGCAGGGCAACACACTATGCTTTCGCGCTGCCCGAAAAAAAGGAGAATTCCCAATTACAGGTTATCATAAGAGCAAAAATTATGATCGTTTATTCAATTTATGCCAATAGTTATGCTGAAACAATACATCCAGGGGTCCAGAAGTGGCAGCCTTATATGAACTAAGGACAACTAAGTAATATAATGGATAATACAACAAGTAATGCAGGCTACCGTCCCAAAATTTGATTTGTATTTCTCGTTTCTAGCTGCCTTACATTTCCCAAAGGAGCTAGTTTAGAGAATATGGTATTTTATCAAGAAAACACCCTCTAGCTGGTTCGTTTGTCTCTTTTCATTACGCGTCGGTTGAATAATGTATAGATATTGTAAGAAGAAGGTACAAATTGATCACTTCCTGGTGTTTAAGTGTTAAAAGGTTTAGTGTTGTAAACTTTTATAAGTCTAGGAATGTTCAGAAAAAGTTATGCATCATGTAGAGCGGTAGCCTTGTAGCATACTCGTGATGAAAGAGACATTTTGATACCAGTCGAGGGAATTTTCTAATTGGTTTTAAAATAATTTCAAAATATTTCTTCTTGTTCTTACAACGCACTGTCATAAGTGCCATCGACGTCGGCCTCAGTTTCTTTACTTTCCATATTATCTGGTTTTACCTCCGAAGCATTTGCTGCTGGTTCTTGAACTTTAACTTCCGGTACTGGAGCCATGGCTTCCGGTTTAAAAGCAGAAGCTTTCGTTGGACTATTTGAGTCTCCCACAAATGCGTCGTGAGTTATTCCAATTTCCGTTTCTTTTGGTTTAGCTGAATTACGTGCAGGTACGTCAACCATCGGCTCGTTCGAGCCTTCGTCTTCCTCCCGCTTTCGACAGGCTACGTAATAAATGGCAAAAATAACAACAACGGCAACAAGTACTGCAAGGATACAGAATCCTACTACCTCCAATGGCCCGATAGTTTTCCCTTTAGCGGTCTGACGTGGCCGAGTCGTACTGGTTTGCGTGGGACTTGGGGAACCTGAATATTAATAATAAATCACATGAAAAGTTTAAATTGATTGTGAACAGTCGCGTGGGGCCATTGAGTACTACGAGATCAACGCTTAAAATCAACATGGTCGCGAACAGTGGAGAAAAAATGATTAAACAGCCAGTTGAGAAGTTGAATTGAACCAATGACCCCCGGAATTTCAGCGAAGAGATCAGTGATAAGCTGTATTCTAAAATCGAGTCTAATCAAATTTATAAGCCACTGAAATCTTACATCATAACAGTTGAGGAGGATACGAGATATCTAATGGCAGGAAGACTTCTTCAAACTTTTTATCGCTTTCCAAAATAGATCTCTCCTTTACTACTTCAAAGTATTTAAAAAAATGAGCTAGTCATGATGGCTTTAGTGATCATACAGAGATATGGCAACATTTTTCAAACATAAATTGTTATTAAACAGCTTCTATTTGTCCTTGCGCTTCGTCAAGAAAGGTTAAAAGTACATCACAAGTGCCAAGGCTAAGGTTTAGGACATATTGGGTCAAACAAATGGTTGATAAACTCTAGAAGTTACAGTGCTAACTTAAGATTGACGTCGAATTTTTGCTAGAATCCAGTGAGCGCTTTCTAACCTGATTACTGCGATAACTTAGGTATGGCGATGCGAAAATCGATGGCAACGTAGAAGCGTAAAGAAAAAAAAATATCTCAGACACAATTTTATGGAACACTGTAGTCAAGTGTCATAGGCGCCGTTATCATTCGCTGAGAACCCCTAACTTTAAATTTCTTATTAATTAATTAACGCTTTGCAAACTATTTTGTGTTTTCCAAAATAGCATTTTCCGTGAAAAATGGCTCTTTGGGGATATTTTTCATATCGATTCCGCAACATATCGTGCTATTTTCCCAGACACAGTGAAATGTTGGCCTCAAAGCAGCACTATTTAGGTAGAAAATACGGAAATTTCTCCTACGTAATAAAAGCAAAATGCTTCAGTTTTCACGGATTAAGAAATGTGTTGCTTTAAAAGAGCAACATTTTGTATAATTCAACGGGAAGTTAAATTTCGGTCAATTTTACTCATACAAATATTCAATTTTTAACTGCGTTGGTTGTTAACTCTGGTCAAAGTGCACATAATGCTCTGCACTTTTAAAAATGGAACGATAAAGTCTTTGATTTTAACCCTCAATATATTTAAGCGTTTTTTTTTTCAAGTTTTTTTTTTTTAGTTTTATTTGACTTGGTATTACGACCCGTACTGCAAAAATTCTGCAAGTAGAATTCAAATTCTGCTGAAGTAGATTGCTTATTTGCTCGATAACAAAATTCTATTTTATTGATAGAGTTAATAATATTTTTCATTTAGTTTTTGTATCTGATCACATAATAAAGTGATGTGACTTGAACTGTATTTTGTTTTGCTTACTTTCTTAAAAATTTTAATATTGTACATAATTCCTATTGAAAGTTTATTGACAGAATATTTGTGGCATCTGTTATTGACAGGTTAGAAAAAGACTGCTATATTCCTGTATCCATTACGTCATGAGTGAATTTCTAGTGAATGAGAGGATGCAGAATTTCTGCAACATCCCGTGAATAAATGGTCTAAGAATTTCTGTGACGTCCATTCTATGAGCGGCTGCAGAATTTCTGCGACATCCAGTTTATGAGGGGTCACAGAATTTATGTGACATTCAGTGTATAAGTGGTCGCAGAATTTCTGCGACACCCAGTGTATGAGTGGTTGCAGAATTTCTGCGACACTCAGTGCGTAAGTGCTCGCAGAATTTCTGTGACACCCAGTATATGAGTAGTTGCAGAATTTCTGTGACACCTGGTGTATGAGTGTTCACAGAATTTCTGCGACACCCGATGTATGAGTGGTCGCAGAATTTCTGCGACACCTGGTGTATAAGTGGTCGCAGAATTTCTGCAACATCCAGTGTATGGGTAGTCGCAGAATTTCTGCGACACCCAGTGTATGAGTGTTCGCAGAATTTCTGGGACACCCAGTGTATGAGTGGTCGCATGTAGAGTGTTCCGCGTAGAAAGTAATGCCGATAAACTGATCCACCACAAATCGTATAATTTGATTGTTGTTTATTGAGACGCCATTGCAATTATTCCATTTCTGTGGCGGGCCGCTGGCTACAGGTTAGCTTAAAGGCTTTTTGAGGTTAGCAAATTACACTAGACCTTTCCTTTTGAAATTGATTTACTGATTGAAATGTGATGTAAAGTACAAAGCTTAAATGTCAATCAATGTTCTTAATCACGTGATTCTCATTCATTTTTAACGAAACATGGAGAAAAACCATTGATTTATCAAAAAATGTGCTATTTTGGAAAACACAAAATAGTTTGGAAAGCGTTTTATGTAAATATGTTTAATAACACAATTCCATACACATACCTGTCACTTGGACAGTTGATTTGCTGGTTGGAGAAGCAGACGAAGTTGGAGAAGCAGACGAAGTTGGAGAAGCAGACGAAGTTGGAGAAGCAGACGAAGTTGGAGAAGCAGACGAAGTTGGAGAAGCAGACGAAGTTGGAGAAGCAGACGAAGTTGGAGAAGCAGACGAAGTTGGAGAAGCAGACGAAGTTGGAGAAGCAGACGAAGTTGGAGAAGCAGATGAGTAGACTGAGGAAGACATTACAGACGGTGATGCTGTACGTTTAGCAGAAGATGAACTAGGGGATGTGAACGACAGAGGCAAAACTGGCGATGACGGACTAACAAACGGCTTAACAAACGAAGTGACGACAGTGGCCGCACTTCCAGCTGTTGTGGAATTTACTAATTGAAAATAAGAACGCAGAATATAAAAATAAAGATGGAAAATTTTTTAGATACCAACCCCTGACTTCCGTTCCTCGAAAGTACCTGGAGACGTGAATTATTCCGATATTTTTAAATGTATTTGTTTACTTGTCTGACAGGCTAGCTAAAGGGAAAAAAGATAGAAATTCTTCGAGTTTTTAACAGCCTGTGAGCAGTTCCTCATCATTAGTGCTTCCGCCTGATTATTTTTTCGCGAGCAGGTAAGTATAAGGTCTCGAACAAAGCGAGAGGTCTGCCAGGGATCTGGGACTGATAATAAGGGCCCCTCATTATTAGTGCCAGATCATTGGCAGCCCTCTCGCCAGCTCGCGTTGTTCAGAGGGTCTCGATGGGGTGATGGCTTTTACGACTAACGATTAAAATTGTGGCGATTGTACGGCTAACGCGTGCCATTTTTGTACTGGAAATTTTGTTTTTAACGGTTAACATTGTTTATGACTAACGGTTAAAATCTGTCAATTTTTACGCCTAACGTGTAAAGTTTTTGGCCATTTTAAGGCTATCGGTTAGCCCCATTGAGATCCACGTGAAATAGAAATGTTTAATACGTTTTCTTTCAAAAGAAGGCGAGAGTAACTCAGCGTGATCGTGGTGAGCGGCGAAAGTCTGTCTGTCTCTTAAAAATATAGAAGTGTGAAATAAGTTGAAAGTTAGTGCACAGTCGGTTGCGTAACGCGTCAAGACCAAACTCGCGTAAGAGGAAAATTTGAAGATTATAAAAGACGATATTCAGAATAAACTTGAGAGGGTACTCACCACCGGTCGTTGTGGATTCATATTTCGCTTCAAATCCACGAGCAACTGCTTTTCCAGGATGGAACATCACAAACATTTGGTTTCCACTCGACAACTGAGTCTCATTCCAAGACGACCCCTGGCAAAATCGCCCCAGCAAAGGCGAACTTGTTGACCCACCATCATAAAGCTCCACATAAGAACAAGAATCCGAACAATTATTGGCTGAACACTCACTTAAGACAAAGTCAGTAAACGTAAACTTGACAATTTTGTCAGCTGGCGCGGTAATGTTCCAGGTACAATTTGTAGACGCAGTGTAGCTACTATTTGGGTAGTTTGTACTGCTTATTTTGCCGCTGCCTGAGAGAGGGATTGCCTCCTTGGGACAAACTGTAAACAATGAAAAAGGAGCAAGTGAGTGTGGGACAATAAGTAATTAGTAACAACCAATCAAAATGCTTATCTTTTAATTGTTGATTCGACCAATGGCCAAAATCTATACAAACCAAAACGGCTCAAAACTATACTCTTCAGTCTGATACATTCCAATATGGTGTTTATAAGGAAGTAGCCCCAAGGCAAGAATATGAATATTTGAAACTCGTTACGGTGACCAATTTACATTATAAACTCAGTTGATGAAACCAAATTATCTTGTTATACTCCCCCACCGACACAGCACCACATTTTCTTTAAAAACTTACCCCCTAATTCAAGAATTTGAAGATTGTTAAGAGATAAATTAAAGTTGGCATAGCTTCCCAATACATCACCGCTTACACAATATATCAGAGATGTTCGCATTCACCCTGAGTTGATAACAGAGAAAACCTCCAATTTTATTAACTAAGCTCCATATCATTACTTGTATGGGTGAATTTATTTCATAAAACATATTCTCTCAGCGAACTCTTAGATCTCATGACGTTGTTTTCTCTACTTACTTGGAGGACTGTAGTTCAACAGCTTGTAAGTTGCCCCAAATCCGTCATAATCCATGTTTGTATCATCGGACACAAACACCACCCTCAGGCTTTCGTGCAGTGAATAAAATATGAGAGGAGGAAACCTTGGTGTACCACATAGTTTTCCAGGCGGCACTTTATCACTGAAGCTATTCTGAACTTCCATATAATCACACGAGCAAGCAGCGCCACCACAACGTTCAAGATTATAGTCTGGTATTGTGAGCTCAACACGGTATCCTTGTTTCCCTGTAATATTCCAGCTACATGTCTGGTTGAATGGATAGTTTCTTGGATTAAAGGGAGAGGAGAGAGAACCTGATGTTTCGTCGAGGATCATATCTGTTGGGCACACTGAAAAGAATAACAAAGGCTGTCAGCTTTAGGAAAATGCATTTTACTTTCTGTGAAAAACTTAATTTATTTAAAGAAAAATCTTAACGAAGCTTCTTTCTCTCCGAAAACTGTTTTGGTTTTAATGATTTTTCCACGAGGTTTACAGTCCACTTTGTTCTAATGGATAATTTCCAATACCGCTCACAGTTCATTTTCCGTATGTTGACGGTTTTATGCTTTAATCAATATAGAGATCGTGAACTTCACTAAGTGGCTTGCGTTCGAGTGAAAGGCTTGACTACATGCAATATTTTATTCTACAGACTATAGCTGTTCAAAGATTGTTTAATTAATTGTATGATATACTCAACAAAACTCTCGCTCAGTACATGCTCCACTGTTTACTTTTATACTTTCAGTTAGTAAACCACCATAGAAGAAAAGCTCTTACGTGAATCTCCATCTATCGCCTTAAAGGTTGCATTGAACCCTTTGTTTACAGAGCCGGTGCGAGATTCAAATCTCACTTGAATGAAATTTCCCTCGGAGTACACTGGAGGGGGTAGCTTTTGTCCACAGATCTTAAAGTCATTAGGTTTTCCTCCATGAGAGGCAACGTTTGTGATAAAGACTCGGGCACTTTCTGCTGCCGCTCCAGCACAGTCATCGTTTTCACCCCTTACCAGGGTAAAGTTCAAAAAAGTCAGTTTGATGATTTTCCCATCGGGTACCGTGATATTCCAGATACAATTCTTGTTTGAATCATAGTTGTTGGGAAAATTGGGGCTGGAAATGTGACCACTAGAGGCATTGATGGATTCTCCAAGAGATATGCAGGCTGAAAAAGAGTGGATTTTTTTAATTAACTTTTTTATATTATTTTTTTACTGGAGACGAAACAGTTCCAATGAAAGAGGGTCTCAATGGGGTGATGGCTTATATCATGAGGGGCCCTCATTGGCAGCCCTCTCGCCAGCTCGCGTTGCTCAGAGGGTCTCGATGGGGTGATGGCTTTCACGGCTAACGGTTAGAATTGTGGCCATTGTACGGCTAACGCGTGCCATTTTTGTACTAGAAATTTTGTTTTTAACGGTTAACATTGTTTACGACTAAAGGTTAAAATTTGTCAATTTTTACGCCTACCGTATAAATTTTTTGGCCGTTTTACGGCTATTGGTTAAACCCATTAAGACCCTCTTGCTCAAGGCCGCAGGTGAAGAACCGCACACGTGCTGCAGCGCTAAAAATATCAGGGGCCTGCTCGAAGGCCGGTCGAGTAGGGGATATTGCGATGATAAAATGCCATATTCGATCTAAGAGCACGTGATCAAGTTACTATTACCCTCTTGAAGGATCGGAAGCTTTGAACTGCTTGTCAACTTGACGGTGTGTGGTCCTTACGGAATTGTTTTTACATTTCGCTATAAAAATTATTCTTCGATCAATGTGCTCGCCTTAGCTGCCTAAGGTCGATATGCCACAATTTATAAAACTTAATGTCTTAAACAGAATGGCAAAATGAACGGATGATCAAAGTTCTAAGGTCTTCCATGACACACTGGTACCCCACCCACACTTTATTCAAGTGCCCCTCCCCCTTCCCCTCCCCTCTGAAAATTAGCCGTCATCAATCATACCCACGCTGACCTTTGAAGAATAGCATATTGACGCAGTGATTTTCTTTTTCTCCAAGACAGTATAAAGAATGTACGTCTAAAGATGATAAATGGCTAATTCCTAGGTAGTTTCCTGTCTATTAATTTGAACTTTCTTATCCCGTGACGCTATGATTATGTGACACTTACACGGCGTGATTGAGTGACTATAATTTTTCTGACCCCGGCGACAGTTCCCACAATGGCAACGAAAATGAAATTACCTCAAGTATCTTGTCTTCGAGGTTTCTTTAAAACCATACAACGAACACATCCCATTTCAACACGATATTAATAAAAATAATTCTTCGAAATCGATTTATTCGTTGATTTATAATTTAAAAACCAGAACTAACCAAATTAACGAGGTTGTGATTATTTTCCTGAATCTCGTCAATCCCTTCTCATTTGGGAATTGGACGGCGCTGAGAAGGTCAAGAAAACAGGTTTTAATTTTCGCGGCGGTGTACAGCCTGTGATCATTTTACTGCATATCGTTAATCAGTATCTGATCGAAGCTTTTCGGAAAAAGGCGATAATCGTTTGTGGTGTCGTAAGGGTCAAGGAATTAAGTCTGAATTTTCGTGGCCGTTCACAGGGACAAGAACACAACACAGCTTTAGCTGTGCGACGCAAAAGGCGTGCGCATAAAAAAAATGCTAAGGAAATGATGAAATGATGAAAGCGGAAAATTGCCCACAATGACATGAAATTGCTTCGAAGACGATGAAATATTCAGTTTAAGATCAAAATGTTGAAATCAAACACACAAACCATAAGCGAAATCAAAACATTCCTCGGACTTGAATCCTTAACGCCGACACGCAGGCTATTGGTCGATTGAAGACATCCGAAAAAATCAAAGGAGATGGCAAATTTTCTGCGATGAACTTCAGTTAGAGCGAGTGAAAAGGCAATGACACAGCCATTTCCTCAATAGGAACACTGAAAAACTTAATTGGGGGAAAGTTTAAGTCGAATCTTGAGGAAAAGATTGGCCGAGAATTGGGATGACGTTGGTGTCAAGGCTGTCTTCTTTTATAATACATTTGTGTCGCACGCATCATTAGAGCTTGATCTTAAAGCACTGATAAAGACTCTTACCCAAACTCGATCCAGCTTCCATCTGCACAGCGAAATAAAGTGAAAGGAGCAGAAACAGCCATTTAGGAAGCATCGTGTATTTCACGCGTAACGGCAACCCACAGAAAAGTCGTCTCTCGTGAGCGGTTGATATGACGTATCTACGGAATGAAAAGTGATATTTACTTTGATGAAATATGCGATTAAAAAGCAAATAAAAACATAGGAGCGGAAGCTTATAAGAAGGCGATTGCAGTACTCGTGCTCTTTGGACTACAGTTGTATCACAACGTTTAGAAGGTTCTAATGAGTAAAACAATAATATTCTGATATCGCACAAACTTAGCGGGAAAGAAAGTAAAGAGCGAAGTCTGCGGACCTGGGGGGAGGGGCAAGGCGGAGCGGCGGGGGTTTCTAAGGGTGTGTTGCCAAGGCTTTTAAGCCATGACTGATCCACTCAGACAAAATCCGTTTGTTTTCCTGCTCCGTGCAAGGCCAAAAAACATAGGTAAACTGTTTCAGATCGACTTCATGGACCTATTGTTAACAAACTTAGGCTGAAAAACTTGCGGTTATGTTTCTACAGACAGTTACTGGCGGTTAAAACCCTTCAAGTCAACAAAGACACCTTAGGCAGGACGCAAAATTGTGAAATTCCATACCCTTTTTTTTCTCGTGGTCATGAACAACATGTCACGGTTTATTTGTTCACTTGGAACTTGTGACACTTTTGTTTTACATATGAAAGCAAAACATCTCGAGATGGTTTTGAAACGTTGCCTAATCTTGCGGATTCAGTTACTCCGATTCCAAAAGAGAAACAAAGCGAAACAAACCTCGCTTGGTATGCGATGAGCCCCCTCGTCGATGTAACTTCCCCTACCACGATCACCTCCCCCTCTTTCCCTAGTGAATATATGCCCTCTACTCACAGATCATCACAATTTTTTTTAAGGTATTAGCTAGTGAGTAAATAAAGAAGTCATACAACCTATACCAGCCAAACTTCTATCTACAAACTCCCTTATTTCCAACCTCCGTCTCTGGAAACGGTAATCCTTTCTTCCTTCTTTAAATGTATGGTAAATGCCTGACGCCGGAGGAGAGAATGGTCAGGTTTCCCCAAGAGAGAATTATGGGACATTACTTTCTCTTGGTTTCCTGTACATATATGAATATTTCAAAATGAGCAGAATTTAAAAGTACCTTTTTTTGTGAAAGCGAAGTTCGATAAAATGGTCAATGCCAGTAATACCAGTTCCTTGAGCCTGCTGTTTCGATTCCACAACAGGTTTGCAATCTTTCGAATTGTCACGTACAAAAGGTAACCATCGGTTAGTTTGGACTTAGACCGCCTCCCTATTGGAGGCAAAGAACCGCATTTGACTTTCAAATTCGACTTTATTCAAATGGTTGCTAGGGCAACTCAAGATACAATGAGCCGCTGCAAACACAAATCGAAATAATATTTGCCGTGCTCTCAACACGAACAAGACCTTGCCGTTTACTTTTCCTCACATAGATCAACATGTCTGATATTGGATCGGAAGAATTCGAAGAAGATGAAGGCATCAATCTTGGGGTAGGTTAGAACGGGTTTAAACGGCAATTTTTTCGGTTAATATGCGGAAAAATTGAATCGTCAAAAGCTGTCACACTATTTGCCTAAAATTTGCTCCGTCCTTTATCAGTCTTCTTTCTCTCTTTTCGTTCTTAAATCTCCAAAATTTCGTAATGTGTTGAAACTGATAAACTTTAATCGACGCAAACCTTGCGAATGTCAACTGTCAAGTCTTTGAACTTTCATTTCAATTTTATCGAAATGACAGCATCGATCGCTAACTTATAAGTATTTGACAGCTTATGGTTTTCATTGTCGACTGACAATCTAAGCTAAGAAAGTGTCATTTAGTTCTGTGCAATTTTCAGTCTCTCTTTTAATCAAAGGAAGAAAACTTTGACGAAAGACTATTTCGCAGCCGAGTTAGCCATTCTTCAGTCATAACTAAATATGCAAAAAAATATCCCGGCAGGGAACAGCGATTTGTGCATACTTAATTTGCAAAGTAATTGGCTTCAGTCAAAGTCAACATACCACAGCGATGTTGATAAACAAATACAGCCACCCACTAAACTCTCTCAATAGCTTTGCCCTCCTCAGCGGATGTTAATCTGTACCAAGCGTCAACTTAGTTGAGACGCTCGAACTGAAAGCTTTTCAAATTACACTGCTATGCTTTTACTCGCTTTCATGTTAAAGTGATCGATGTACAAGGGATTTTCAAGTGATTTTTACTGATGACACTTTTTGTAAAGTACATTTTTCTTGTTGCTCGTAAAGGCACATAATTATGGCTAATATTTTATAAAACTATTAAAATTGTCAATTGACTTATAAGCTTTTCTAAGAAACTGTATGTGATCTTTCTCTCGCGATGATTAAAACGATAATCGACGGATAAAGAGTGGAGCATGTGAATGAATGAGGATACATTTCAGCCGATTCAGCATCTCAAGTTTATCGTGAAATATCTCTTGTGAAGTGGTTTGTTTCTACGCATGATTGCTTACTGTTTGACGCTTGTGGTTACCCCTTTGAGAGGGAAGAAGGACATTTAAGCCTAACGACATGTTACGTAATCTTTTGGTTTCTTACGGAGCGAAATTAAGTCAGGCCTTCACTAACGTGATGAACTTGGAACTCTAGTTAAGGGACCCCACGGTTCAGATATCCGGCTCCCGGCCGGTTCAAATATCCGGCTCCCCGAAAGGGTCTTCCTCTCGCTGTGAGCAGGATATCCCATGGGGAGTTTTACGACATAAACTTTCCAGACCACCCTTCCCTCAGAGCTTCTAAAAATGAGCGCTACATACAGTTCAAAGGCCATTCGACGAATCTGATTACTGTATTACGTTTTATTTTCTTAACTCATTTCTGTAGGAGTACGATGGTGATCGAAACGAGAATGAAGAACGCCATGGCTACGGTAAAGCCACCCTGCCAAACGGAGATACGTACGAAGGGCAGTACGAACACGGAAAAAGACACGGCAATGGTACGTACCGCTTCAAGAACGGTGCCAAATATGTCGGCGAGTATGTCAAAGGCAAAAAGCACGGCCAGGGCACGTTTTGGTACCCAGACGGCTCGCGATACGAGGGTGGCTTTGTGGAAGATCGGAGAAATGGCCACGGGATTTACTACTACGTGAATGGGGACACTTACGAGGGTGACTGGTACGAGCATCAGAGGCACGGCCAGGGCGTGTACACGTACTCAGCGACTGGGACCAAGTACAAAGGATCGTGGGTACACGGCAAGCGCGACGGCACGGGAGAACTCGTTCACTCCAATCACAGATACATGGGAAATTTCTTGGATGATAACCTCCAGGGCGTGGGCAAATATCGGTTTGATATCGGTTGTGAACAACACGGAGAATATGTTTTGGAGGAAAAGGTCCAAGAGGGGGACACCGAAGAAGATGAACAACTTACCGTGTTGACTGCCAAGTGGAAATGTGCAAGTATAACTGAAATTGAGCCAGCTATCATTGGATAGATTTGTCGCACTTGAAATGTTGACTATTTCTAGAACCTTTTTTTAGATATTTCGCGCGAAACCCTCTGTTTACATCAGTAGTTGAATCTATTTTATTTATTCAGAAAAATTCTTCTTAGGGGTGAATAAAACTGCCTTACACCAAAGCTCTCTTCGAAGTGACTATTATCATTATTACCATCATCATCATTTAATTTGTCTTCTTCTGTTATTTAAAGCTGAATCCAAACCGTGGTTCTGGGGCCGAGTGAAGGAGTGATCAATCCTATTATTAGTCTCATTATCGTCGTCATCATCATTCATATTATCGATATCATTTTATTGTTTAACTCCGTCAAACAAACCCCCCTCCCCCCCCCAAAAAAAAAAATAAAATAAAAATAAAGAAGGGAAGTGAAGGTTTGATTGAAACAGCCCCTAGTGGGATGGGGAGTGTATTGTATACTAAAATGAATGTTTTTAAATCCGATTTTGCCATTTATCATTCCCTTTGGCCCATTTTACGAGATTCTCAACTATTACCGGTCCCGGAAACTAAAGATGTCTTTTGTTTGCCGTACATTGCAGATAGAGATATGAATATTTTTGGAATTAAAGCAATAAAAATATCAGGAAATTAAAGAGAGTAGACGGGTTTTAGATCAGAGAACTTCATTAGTTTTCCTAACATTTAGTTTTTTTAAATATGACATTCTGCCCGCTAAGTTTCCGAGCCTTCGAGAAACAGGCCACAGATCGATCAATTTTCCCTTCAAATTTGTCTAACGAGAAGTAACCACTGATTAAAGGTTATTCGTTCAACTGACAAATACGGTCAAACCTCGAGCTCTTTCTGGTTTGACCCATTAATTCCGCGGCCAAGTTCAGTTATTCAAACCTCATACAAATGAGTGACTGCGAATGACAAGTGACATGCGTAGAACAGTCGAGCCGTCCCGCTTGTGACGAATCCCATATGGAAGGAAAGTAAGGGGTGCTAATTCAAACTTTTAACCCATAAAGTTTGATCTGATATTCTGTACTAAGCGGTCAATCATCAATGTCCCGAAATTCTTTCCCCTTAAACTCTGTGCTTTTCACCTCTATTAAGTGGTTGTGGTCATCCTTTATTCCAAGGCTTGTTTCTAAATACCTTCTGCCTGTATTGAACGGTCTTTTGAAGCGCCACCACTCAAATAAAACTAAGCACAAGCTTTCAAGTATATTTAACCCATGTTTATCTTCTGAAATCAAGCTAGTAGTATTTTTGAGCGAGGAATTTGTAAATTAAGTGGTTAGTTATGGCATAAAATGAAATTTTTTACAATACCATACCCCTATTCTGTAGAATACGTATTTAGCGGACAACCTGTATTCAGCGGTCACCTCGCCATTCTCCGTCGGTAATTTTCTATTATCGACCGAGTTGATAGCGTAAATTGGCCATCGTGAAGAGCTTAAAAGCTGACGTTTCGAGCGTTAGCCCTTCGTCAGAGCGATTGTCAGTTGATAACACTAAATTACCCAGTTATACTCACCCACCGACGCAGCATCATAGTTTCTTTAGAAACTCAGTTAACCCCTTTATTCACTTAATACCAAGTTCGACTACGGCTATACCAGTCTAAGAGACACAAGAGATACGATTGTTAGACGACAGCTGAAGGGGTATAGCTTTATTGCAATCAACCACAAACGACAAAATTCTTTAAAATAACAGAGATACGACCGACGGCTTTTTTTTTTGGCCAAAAAAACCTATCGTTCAATGTACCTGTTAAGTGAGCCTACAGTTTATTTTTATAAAAGCGTTCGAAAATTGTGCAAATCGCTACCCCCAAGCCTGTGATTTGCAAACATTTTTCGTGTTCTTCCAACATCCTGCATGGGTTATTACCGACACCGGCAAACCGGTAGAGAGTGAAGTCTTAAGCATAATTACCATGTGAATGAATTTTTCTATAGTTGTCATATTAATATCAATTGTTCATGAAATTCTGTCCACCGTTGCAAATTTTTAGGCTTCGGTACAATATTTGTAGAATTACGGAAATCGGCAATACCGCGATATTGCTTTGCATCGATATTTATACACAAAGTTATAGAAAGTTAATCAATACGAAACTGATCAAAGGTTCACTGTTTTATAAAATGGTTTATTGTTTGCCACGCCTAATTCACATAGTACCTTAGTCTACCTTTCCTGATTCTCATCACAAATATTGATCAACCAGCATCTACGAAACATTAACGAGACATGGAAATGACAAATTAGAGAAACTGGTGTGGAAAAGGGAAGTTGGAAAAAAAGAAACGGATGTGTACCAATATTGTTGATGCGGTTGACTGCTTCCGTAACTTCAGTCCAATAAAATAAAATGTTACTCTTGGTCTGGAATATTTGAACTTTGTGCATCTTTGCAAAATTGCTCTGTATTGGCAAACTATTTGCTAAGTTCGAAGTTACTTAAATTGCATGTTTGACTAAGAATTGTGGAGTCAAAAATGATTTTTTCGCGCTGAAAATCGACTTTTGTTTCGTCGATACTAAAAATAGAAACTCTCGGAAAAAAAATCGATTCCACAGCAAGGTTAAGATGGAGTCGGTAAAAAACTTATGTTTCAAGAAGTTAAATATGCAGGCAATTAAAATACCAAGATTGAACAACGATATGCCATATTTTATGAAGAAATGTCTCGCAATAATTAATTTTATTTTAAGAACGAGTTAGTGCATGAGTAGTTTATACCATTTGAGGTCAGAACGATTATGTTATCCTGTTATCGCTGTGATAGCACGCTAGAAGAGTGGAAACACGCACCTCTTGGAGTTGGAAAATAAAAACCCTTTAATTTATCCCAACAGCCTCACTGCGTCACTGGGGAGTTATGTTTGCAGGATATTGATCTGGAAGCAAGTTTGCAAGAAATAACTTTCTTAAGAACTCACTTAACCGCAGGCTGTCAATATCGTAACACTCGTGCGCATGATATCCCATCACGAAACGAAACTCGTTCGTACTCGATGGACTGATGAAAATTCTTCATTTCATCCTCAAAAAACGAAATATTTACAAGATTGTTATAAGAATTGTTCCCTTGTTGTATTTACATACTTTTAGGTAATCCGACACATTAATTATTTATATTGGGACTCATTGTTTGCGCATAAACAGCATGGGTAGCGTTTGACAGGTTGGGACTCAGGACTAGTGAGAGACAGACCAACGTCAGTGTTAAGATGCGGTAGTTGGATGCCCTTATCTGTTTTATAGTGTTGATTTTACTTGTGGGCAAATGGGAAATACACAAGGGAAAAGTACTGAAGGTAAGATATAAATTATATCTCTGTTTTATGTCGCAAGAAGGGCAAGCATTCTTGAAATTCAAGTGTGACAAGGTTAGTTGTGAAGAGTAATTTTGCATGACAATGCGAAAGCTTGGGAAAATTAAGGAATGGTCGTGTTTATTTCGCATTATCCAGCTTATAGGCGAGTTTGCTCCATTTATTTGGAGAACAAGGCCTTAATCAAACGTACTGCTGTTCATTTAAGTTATTTCCCTGGAGTTTTCTTCGTATACCTGGTAAATAATTCGCAGAGTAACGGGCTTTTGTTGTAAAATACCTCTTGCGGCGTCACAATAAATTTCTGGTCTGTATCGATCGATTTTATCTGCCTGCAGCACAACTTGATGTTGTCATGTAAGTCACCAGGGCCGTATAAGTCTGTTTGCCAGATAAAAACATATGTACATAATGCGTAAGCTTTTTCAAACACAGAAATCCACTCGCGATTATAGTTTGTTTAAACAATATGGAGAATTTTACTGTTATTGTAAGTCTAGCAGCTTTGATCGAGCATTCGCAGAATTCTTTTCATTTCGAATGTTTTCTGTCGTTTTATTGCTTCAGCAAAATTTCATATATTGCATTAATACGAAATTGAATTTTCTCCCAGCGGAAAAAAATCGCCATCCGTAGCTCGCTAATGACTATTTATCTCTCACAATATTTATCATCGAAAGTTCTTTACATGTTTCCTCTTCAAGAATTAGTCTGTCACTTACTATGATCAATATTTTCCTTTCCTTTATTATACTTTCAATTTACTGACCTGTGAAAACATACATCATCGCACTACTGTTTTAATTTCCTTTTCCGCTGTGATAGTACGTTTACTGTAATGCGATTTTTCATGGGAGATGCATTAGCAACTTACGAATTTATTTCTTAGCCAAATCCCGCTCTAACTTCGCTGGGAATACTGAGCATGTCAGTAACCTGGTCGGGAAATTTAGTTTAAAAATTTTCTTTTCTCTTCTAAAGACAGAGGCGATCGAGCAATTGGAAAACCTAAATTGGGTCTTGAAAAACCATTCGTGCGTCTTAAATGTAGCTTTTTCCGAGATCTGGGATTCCGTCTACAACAATATTGGTCACCAAAGCATTTCGAACGTTCGATCGTTGTCTTTTGCAACTGCTTTCGTGTTACATCCCTCTATAATCCCAGCTCTCAGTGGCGGATAATATTCTAGAATGTTTTCCGAGAGACAAGGAAAATAATGTTCCTGTACATTTAATCTTTTCTTTTTGTGATTTCCTGCGATTAAATGTCGAGAAATTCGACTCGCTCCTTAATTATTCAAATGTAGCCTAAAGCCGTCAAACGAAGAAGCCGTCTAGCCGCGAAAAAACAGTTCATTTCTCAAGAGTGTGTCGAATAATATTGGTTTACGTCAATATTACTTCAGTGTTGAAATAAGTTATCTTTCATAACTTACGATGAGCGTTTTTAAAGGATATACTTCGAACGAGAGAGAGTTGTTGTCGCATGTTGGAGGATGTTTTTATAGAATCAATTTAAATTTAATCCCTCGCTAAGTGATATTTGGTGAAATGATTGCACATTACGTTGGAACATTCAGTGTAGAAGGTGCGTGAACTGAATCTAACATGGCAGCCTACCAAATTTGCTTTTTGAAGCATACTGCATTTGGAATGCTAGTTGAGATGTTTACTACACGTTATGACTTATCTCTGACAGGCTTGTAATTTCTGATATCGATACCTCACTGATTCAATGAAATTTGTACATCAGGTTTTCAAACTTTGTGTTCAACATGAGTAAAATGAAAGCAGATGCATCGATTTATTTTAGTTTTTGCATAATCATGGACACTAGTTTGAAATGATATATTTGATCAAAGCTATGTACACTAACAAAAGGCTGACATACTTTGTAGAAATAATCAGCAGAAACCGTGAGCACAAACGGAACACCCTGATTGAACCTATTTAATTTTCATGTACACTTCTTTATAAAAAGTTTATCATATTGATGTTTTATTTCTTTACTTAGCATATGATTATTTTGTTCCTCAAATTTTGAGATACATCTTAATTTTTATCATTAATGTGAATCACTACTTTGTGTTGTCCAACTGATTGTAATTATTTAATTATGCCTTATGATGATCAAATTGAACTGTTGCTATGGTCAGCTAAATATTTATATCACTTGATATATGAAAATAAGTCAAAGTGAAGCTCCACTCAATAGAAATCAATCATGCAATGATTTTAACAAGTTCGAGAATCAATCTTAAGTATTTCTTTTCATACCATGCAGTTGTAAGGTATAGGAGACTATGTAATCTTGTGGTCTTATTACTATGAATTCAGGAGCAAGTGGTCAAAGTCCTAATGTTTCAAATTTCCAAATGAATTTGAAGTAGTCCTCGACATGTCTAGCCAAAGCTAGACAAACTCAGTTAAAATCCAATTGAAAACAAAACCACAAGAAAGAATTGGATTTAATAAACTTGACTCAACTCAACCTATGTGATAGTGAGTTCTGATTTATACTTTAAAATTCATTTTGGTGATTTCATCAAGGAATTTTGGGGAACAAAAATTTACCATTGAGATGTTATGCTGAGTTCACTTTTGAATACTGTTTGTAATTGATGAGAGTGCAAAATTTGACCTGAACACATGTAGACAGTGAGGTATTTGTTTTATCGGCTCACACATGGTAATTTCTATTGTAAAATAAAATTATAAACCTAATTACATGACTGCACACACACTAATGAGCTACATGTAGTTGCTGACACCATTGTTTCACCAGAGAAAATAATTTTTAGCAGAAATACAAACAGAAAAAACAACTAATATTAACTGAAATTAATAAAAAATGGTATGTTCACATGTTGGTATCAAAAGACAACTTTCCCAGTGGGTATTAAGTATTGCAGGATTAAAAATCAGCAAGCTACTTGCAAGGCTTGGAATTTGTATTGTGTTAGTGGACAAATTTTAATATCTCTTTTGCTCTTTATTAAAGAATCACAAATTTAATTAAATTGAAACCATCAACAATGAAATGCCCTCAAGAAGTTGTTTTTTTATCACCCAATACAACCCAGACAATATGTAATAAGTAGCAGTTGAAATCAATAGCTATGAAAAATGAACTTAGTGGGAGCAAATGCTTTTCATATTTTATGGGATTCATCACCTGAATTTGATAATCTAGTTGTCACCCTTTTAGAGTTAAGTCTTTAAATCTTTGATAACTAATTATTTCAGAGACCTAAATAACCTGTCACAGGTAACGGACAAAAGAATAGATATTAATTTTCAATGCACTAATTTGCAGAAAAGAATTGAACAGAAAAGTTTCTGAACACCAACAATGTCATGTAAAGCATAAAATAATGCCATGCTTTCCCATGTCTCCTCAATTACCTCTTTTGAGAAGAACAATAGGTAAATGAAGGTTCCTCCCTCTCTTGCAAAGCTCTTTGGATTAAATCTGTTGATCTCATACTTAGCTCTGTCAATCCACCCTGATTATGCTACTAACAATGTTATTTCCCAAGAGAGGAAAAGTTACTCTACATGAATTAATCTCCAACTTACAATTGTCATTGTCATCATGAGAGAAATAAATTTAATATCAAATAAATGAGGTAATCTTAAGGGGCAATGTAACTTCTTTATATCACACTATTTCTGTGCTTGTGGTGTTGTATAAATATATGCTAGTAGCTGACTACCCTCTGCAATAAAATATCTTGATTAAAAAAAGAGATATCTTTGACTAAAAAATGTCCACACATTTAATGAGTGGCTTTCTACAACATATACGAGGTGTATTGGTTTAACCATTAATACAGTTTGACCTGTGTAAGGCAAGTGGCAGGTTATTACTTATGCTTGGGAGCACCTACACTAAATTCCCTGTTACTGCAGGATTTTCTTTAAGGTTTTAAGTAGCCAGAGCCTTTTTAAAGATAAATGGTTGTGGGTCTCAAAATCCAACATGGTGGACAAAACGTCATATTATTCATACTTTTTTGCCACTGCAGCAAGATTTGTCAAAAAGACAGTCCCCATCAGAACGTTTTTAAATGAACCTTGAGTCAGAAGTCTTTTTATGTTTTCAGAAAAGATAGGCAGGGCAAATTTATGTTTTTACTGAGCCCAAGTTTAGACCTGATAAACATCATCTCTGTACAGGCTCTCGAAGCAATGAAAGTAGCCAGTGAAACCTTGCAGAGAAGCCAGTGTACTTTGCTGGCTGCTCGCTCTTATCTACAACCCTGTACTGTAGCCCTTGATATAAAACCTCAGCTGATTGTAAAGTTGTTTTCTGTTCTGAATTAATTATTCTAATAAAGTAAAATTGTTCTAAATTGATGAAGCAATCAAAAGCCCAAGAAGTCATGAATTCTAAATCTACATGTATGAAAGCCAGGAGAATATGTTAATTAGATTTCTTCTCATTTTTTTGTTGTAAATTTTTGTACAGCAAAATCTTTTGAGTTTTTAAAGTGAGTACTCTAAATCACAGAGTACACTTAATGTGTCCTGAGCCTTTAAAGTGTTCCTCATTCCTTTATTACAAATGAACTTGTATTCCTCATAGTGTGATCACTTAGTATGAGAGTGCTCAGTTAATTTCCTGTTTTGTTTCAGATAAAGACAAAAGAAGGAAAGGAAAGACATCTAAGAATTCTCCTGCCAACGAATTTTCTCCCACACCAAAGCGTAGTTCCACTTCAAATGGTTCTGTAGGAATAAACAGCAACCATAGGACTAGAGAAAGTTCAATTCATTTGCCTTTGAAGGAATATGAAGTTCCAGATTTCTTGAAAGATACCCAGCAACAGCGTTGGCATGAAAATGGGGCATCTCCAGTGGTCAAAAGGGATCTGAAAGACCCAGATTTTTCCTCTAATGGTGGACAGGGGCTTATGATTCCTAGTGAGGAACTAGTGGTGCCTGAGTTTCTTAGAAACAGTGAAGGTAGACAAGGACATAACAAGTTACGGCACGGTGGAAGCTCCACTTCTGTTGCCAGCAAATTTGGGGGCGCTCACGGAAATGTAAGAAATGAAAGCAGAGCAAGAACTGCAGAAAGGGCTGACAGACAGAGACTCACTAATGGTGATACAAAAATAGACAGTAATGGCACGAGAGACTTTGTTACCATGAATGGAGAGCAGAAAATTCGCAGTCACTTGCAGGGTGCTGTTGCAGCTCATAAACCAGATCAGGAAACAAGAACAGGGCAAAAACAAACTCCTGACTTTCAAATAAGGTTGAACAGAGCCTCAACAGTTGACTCACCTGATAAAATTGCTCAAATGGGGCAAAACGTGAGAGAAAATTTGAACTCAAAGACAAGTTCAGACACTGACAGTGATTTCAAGGCAAGGAATAGAATAATGTTTGTTGACATGGAGAAAAGAGAGGAATTAGGAGCATATGATGATGCTTCCTTGAAAAGAAAATACAAGAAAGGAGGCAATAAGAGTAAAAACAAAGGACAAAATGGTGTGAAAGACACTTCAGAAGTTTCACAGAGAATTATGGCTTCTGCTAAGGTGCAGATGGATCCTGGTGGAAGGCGCAAATCAAACAACTGGCCTGCAGACACTGATAGTGTCCAGAGCACTTCATCACAGTCTTTTACTGAACCTATTTCCACAATGTCTTCTGAGAAAGATAAATTTAGTGTTTCAGTGAGAGATCATGGGAACCTTGTGTTAAAAGGTGGTTTGTCAAATGGACTTCTTTCTTCCTCCAGAAAATTACCTGGAGCTGCTAGTGAGGATGCAGATTCACTGCCTTCTACACAAAGAAGTAGTAAACTTAATACCAGTCTTGGTTATAATGAAAGTTCACCTGAGGAAGACCTTCGTAAAGTTAAAAGGAAGGACTCTTTGCAAGCTCATTTACGAAACAGGATTACAAAATTGGAAAAAGTGAAGCCACCTCTGCCCAGGGCAAGATATGACAGTGACTCCACAACTATCAGTGATCACAGTGCTTTTGAAGATGTCCATATATTTCCACATTCCCCCAGAAGAAAGTCAAATTTTGGGTTGATGACTTTGAATGATCTTCCAGAAGATATTTTGATTTTTATTCTGTCTTATTTGTCAACAAAAGACCTTTGCATGGCATCAGGTGTTTGTCGGAAATGGCAGACACTCTGTTGGGATCCACTGCTTTGGTCGAACATTCAAATCTCCAATTATCAAGGAAGCGACATCAACAAAGTTTTGCGGAATCTACTGGCAAGACTAGCCATGGACACTCAGGGTTACTGTATGACAGTACATTCAATAAAGTTAAATGGTTGTGAGCTACTGTCTGATAAAGGACTGGGTTTTGTTGCTCGGTTTTGCATAGATTTAGAGGAGCTTGATGTGTCTGGCTGTTGCTGTATCACAAGTAAAGGTCTTCATGACATTTTATTGAATTGTCAAACTCTGACTCATCTTGACACGAGTGGCTGTACTTGTGTGAATAATGTATCAGCTCCAGTAGCAAATGGATTTGGTGTGGGACATCATGGGTCATTCCTTCAGTTGCGACATTTGGACCTAAGTGATTGTGTGGCATTTGATGACTTGGGTTTGAGAGTTGTGGGTCTCAGTTGTGGTTTGCTTGAAAGCTTGTATCTGCGCAGGTGCAATCGTGTGACAGATGTTGGCATCAAGCATATTGCACAGCACTGCGGAAATCTCAAAGAGCTCAGTGTCAGTGATTGCTTCAAAGTGAGAGATTTTAGTCTGAAGGAAGTTGCCAAGAATTGTCCAAGTCTCAAGTACCTCAGTGTGGCAAAATGTCCTATAACAGATACAGCAATGAAGTATATTGGAAAGCACTGTGTCAAATTAAAGTACTTGAACATCAGAGGATGTGAAGCTGTTTCTGATATTGGAATGACGCACATTGTTCAAAATTGCTTGAAACTGCGGTCTCTTGATGCAGGAAAGTGTGATATTACAGACAATGGACTTCACATGATTGGCATTCATTGTCCTCAGCTTAAGAAATTGAGTATACGAGGATGTGACCGCATTACCAATACTGGGGTGAGAACTATTGCAGCTCAGTGTTGCAGTGTGCAGTACCTGAACTTGCAAGAATGCAACCTCAGTTATGAGACTTTTATGTACATAAGGGAACATTGCAAAAATTGTGTCATTGAACATACATGCCCTGCATTTTTCTAACATAGCCATGCAAAGAGGTGATGTGAGCTCTTTGTCAAATATTCTTATGTTTTATCAGCTATTTTCAGTCCATCCAGTTGTGTTATTTTGAGAGATGAAATGGATTTCATTCTACCTTCTAATCCATGTGTTCCCATGTGTGTAGGTACGCATGAGACAATCTCGCTTACTGATAACCATTCCATTTTTCACATACACCCCAGCAGGGCCTGTGTATTCAACATGATAGCATATGTAATCTTCTATTTTTTTCACTTAGTTTTAGGCCATCATGTAAAATTTGTAATAATTATTTATAGAGTAAGAGAAATATACCCCTCTGTGAGGGTGGGGCATGGGCAGCTCAACCCCCTTCCCTTATATCTATATTGTGGTTTTGTTGTCTCATCCTAGGCCTTAACAATGCTTAATTGCTGAAGCCTAAGGGCCAAAAGTATACTACTGCCTGTCAAGACTATGAAAAAAATTTATTTATAACTTATTTGTCTACAAAAATCTCTTGAAATCCTATTGAGGTGGACAAAGTATAAATAGTGGTAATCCCAAGAGCAAAATTTACATAGTATCAATGAAAAAAGGGTGTGTTTTCCTGACTGTTTTTCAGAAGTCAACCTGAAACTCTAAACTACAAGTGAAAAGTCTCTGATATTCAGGGAAGCATGTACGTGAGTGTTTTAATACTTCTACAGAGTGAAAATACACAGAAGTTGAAATTGTAAAGTTATGGTTATTGTTTATTCTAAAATTCAGGGGGGAACTAGACTCCATTTACCCTTACTGTTCAATTTCCAAAGTTTCTTTTTGCAAATATGGGATTGTATATTTGAATATTTAAAAGAATTATTATATTGTTGTATTACAGTCTACAGTGTAAATAATTTATGATTTTAAGAACTATCCTGGGAATTAATTTATAGGTCCTTTGAAAACTTATGTGAAAATAGAGTGCTTAGGACTGTGCCCTTGATGAATTTTTTACCAATTGTGTTTGGTTATGAATGATATGTTCCCAGTTTTGAAGAAAATGTTAATTTTGTTGATATATTTCTGGGAGAATTTGAATTATTATTATTGCCATGGAGGAACCTTATTTTTGGTTCAAATGACAGGAGTTATTCAAAAATAAAACAATGAAAACATGAATTATAACAAAAGATGGTGATCTTTGAGTCATTAATAGCAAGTATTGTACATCCAGATGGTGATATAAGTTATTTTATGATGCCTGGAAAATAGTGAGTGACAACCTTTTCATCTGATCTCCATTAGCCCCAAAGCATCGCAGAGAATCCTTGATTTTACTATCCTCCAGCCATTTACCAATAGAGTATAAGCTCTTTGATTCTTTGAGACATATTCTGAGGATGTAGACTTTGGTCCTAATTTTCAAAAATTTTGCTGTATTTGTTGTTGTTGTTGAACTCCAGTTTTTATGAAGAGTGAAGTTAAGGGGGAAAGGAAGTTGAATCACAGGCGGACCGCACTAAGTGTTTGTAGTTATTGGAGCCATGCGGCGAACAAAACCTATGAGGGTAGTATAATGAATAAACTCTGAAAACTTTTCGCCTTCATGGGCCCTTTGAAGCGTCTTTTTGCGCAATTACTTTTGGCCGAAGGCCATAAAGTACCACAAATGCATCGATTAACATTTCATTTAACTTTACTGAGATATTCAGACCAAAATGTGATTTAGATATGCAATTTTAAGAGCTCTATTTATAACCTTCATAGATTTTGTTCGTCTCACGCCCAAATTAATTTTCCCCGTTCTCCACTATCTCTAATTTAAAGGACAGAAACCTCCCTCTTGCCATTCAAAATATCCAAAATCACCATAGTGTATACTCATTTTAACACAAAATAATGCAGCGTTGTTTATCTTGATAAACTCTGCCGTAAGACGAAAAATAATGGCCGAGTGGCGCTTGACGTCAGCAGCGCTCGGATGAGGTTGCACAGCATGACGGGATTTCCCGCGCTTGCATGAAAATCTGCATTCTTTTACTAGCCCGGGAAATTCGCGTGTGAAACAGCTGAAATTCTGCTTTAGTTAAGGGCAGATTTTACGCCGTTTCCTGTGGTTTCGTGCTCAATTATCCCCTTTCGTCGATATCGATGGTCGACCTGTAAGAGAACTTCCATCAGGCGAAATTACGAGTTCGATATAATCGACAAAGATCCCAAATCATGTCTTCTAATCGTCGAGCGTCAGTTCCAGCAATCGGTCTTCGTCGAAGTCCGCGAAGAAGAACGAAAACTCCTTCAGTGAATGAACTTTCAAAGAAGTACAGTAAGTAACACAAATTTACTTTCTTTATACATCGTTTTCGTTTTTGTTACGGGCTCCTATCTAGCGGAGCTTCTCGAAGACGTCTTTGTCGTGGAGGTTTTTGTTTCGTCTTTTCGTTTTCACGCCGCTGTGTGAATCGTCATGGCAGCTGTGATATTGTTTACAACAAAAACTACGGGATGTTGGCTCATTTTACCGTTGAATTTTTAAATTTCCGTTAAATTTTGTCATGTTCGTCCACATTTTCAAAGATCGGAGTAAAATTTAGTTAAGTTTTAATCCTTTGAGTCCGATCGCGTCTTGGTGTCCTCTGACTGCGTCGGTTACATGCTTTCACTTAGAAGACAATCATCAAACGTCAAGATATCACCGCTGTTCTTGTTTAAAACTATTCCGGTTAAAAATCTTTGGCGTCGTGACGAGAAAATCACATTATGTGATCGCTAGGTAGTGTTTTGATTGTATTGGACGACAGGTTAATTGAAGCTGGAAGTTAGTGTATAAAACAGACCAGCTGTTATATTTTTGATTCACGTGCTTCATTTTCCTGATGAATTATACATCCTCCTCAGGTTGCTCTTAAGTATGCTTTCATTTTAGTTCCTTCTAGAAAGCATTGTCGATCACTTCTATATTGATTATTTTCTATAATCCCCACTGTAATATAATTGTTGACAAGAAAGAAAGCTGCACTTGACTTTTTTTATGCCTTAAGCCTTCCCCACAGAATGTTTTGTTTTCCATCACCCTCCCTCTCTTGAATATGGGTTGCTCGGTCTAAAAAAAATGGGGGAAAGGGGGAAGAATGGAAAGATTTTATCAAGGGAGCCTTGGTTTGTGAAAAGAAAAAACAGCTGGTTACAGGTGTTATTTTGCCAATCATATTCTCAACCAAAACCCCCAAGAATTCATATCCAGACAAGAAATAGTATAAATGAATTCTGTGTGAGAAAAAATGGGTCATCTGAAAAATGGACATTTACAAAACATCTCTTGGTGATGGCCCAAATGGTTTATTCCCAGGAGTTGCTCCTGACTAATATTAACCCATTTACTCCCAAATTTTATTAGTAATTCTTCATACTGTCTGCCATACAATTATTATGATGTTACTTTGGAGAATTTGGTATTGGATCAACTGATAATCCCCTAATTGATTTTTTCTTAATTCTCATCTCTTGTCTGCTTGATGTTGTATTGGCTTTTTAGGAGAAATTCTGTCTTGATCACTCATGGGAGTTGGGTGACAAGTACCACAGTCCACCAACCTAAAAACCAAACTTGTCATAGCTGATTTTGAGTGTATGGGTGCATTTTGTTTTCTTTTAGTTCAAATATGTTCATATATGATTGAAATGGTATTTTCCCTGTCTAGAAATAAGTCCCAGAGGTAAAAGAAGACTTGAATTTCAACACGAGAAACACCAAGAACCATTAAAAGACTGTACATTCTACTTGGATCTTGAAAACTATCGCAAAACAGGCAGCTTAAAAGCTCGCATAAAAGAGCTTGGAGGGGTAAGAGAAGATTTTGAATTCAACAGCTTGTAAAATCCCAGTTAGAGCAACAGCATTATAAATGTGTAAGACAAACAACCAATCCCTTATTTTGCTTCATAAACAAAATTTTACTAAATCACGTCTGGTTTTATCTGTAACAGCATTTATATACATGTATCAAGGACATGAATCTTCATGTAGGGTGCTGCTGAAAGTGTGTCTGAACTAAAGATCACAATAAAATTTTAGGGTGCAGCTTGTTACTACAGTATAGAAGTGAGCCTTATCACATTTTTACTGAAAATTGCATGAATAGTTGTGAGTCAAGGGGTTGTTAGTACCCTGATGGTGCCAAGACGCCTCTCTCTTAAAGACAACTTGAGCCTGCCTTCATTATTTGCCAGTCTTTCATGGTTCTTTTTGAAGAAAACTTCAATGAATAGGCTTAAGTTTCAGGCGGCAAACAAAGGTAATACCAGCAATGCTTTTGTTAAATAAGCTAATGATTGTTTTCAATGAATTTAAAAGGCTGTAGAAGAATTTTTGAGCAAAGACATTAGCTGTGTTGTCACCAACAAGAAAGATGCTGACAGCCGTTGCTCTCCAAGAAGCAACTCAACACCAAGCCCTAGTTTATCAATTCCAAGTCCTTTTCCAGGAAACACAAAAAGGTAAAAAAGAAATGATACAAATTACTAGTGAAGGCTAAATATCCTTCACCCTTAACACCCTAACATCAGTATGCATATTCTCCATACTGTTCTCTATGCTATTTGTAAAGGTGCTGAAAACAAGAATTTGTTTAATAATCAAAAGCTTCTTTAGTTGGTGATCATTTCCTATGTTCTCATGACCTTAATGAGTGATTCAGGGGTGAAACTGTAAGGAGAAATTAGATGCTAGTCACTGTTATGGCTCAAAGTGTTAACTTAAGGGTTTTACTCATTTTATTTTCACTCAAAAGAAGCTTATCTTCAGTGTGTGGTTGTCATTCAGATAGGGAGAAACTACTACATTCTCCATCTGAGTTTTCTAGATTGACCCAAAGGCCAGGACAAATTCCACAAATAGCCTATTTTTGATACAGTCAGGCCAAGTTACTTAATGTTATCAATTACGAACAAATCTCTAACAAATGACAGTTTTTCAAGCTTGAGTCCATTAATGAATCTTCCATGAAATGAATAAATCCATGGTTCAGGATTTTTAAGTGAAGCTTTCTTTAAAGTATATTTAAAAAGTGAGTAAGTAATGAATGCTTTTTCCCTTTATGATTGCTGTAGCTCATCAGCAAAAGGTTCTGCCGTTCCATCTCCATTAAGTGCAGACTCATGTGGTACTGAACAAAGTGGTCAGACTTCTGCCAAACATAATATGAGGGGCAAGGCACTTGCAGCACATGCAGCCATAACCTATACGTGTGGAACAAGCAATGTCATCGCTAATGCAAGGAACTGGGGTCTTCAAATCGTTTCACTAGAAAAGATGTTAGAGAAATTGGAGCGATATGGTAGCATTCTAAAGAAACCAACATCCAAAGCTTTAGTAATTGGTAGAGTAGCCAAGCAAGGCGTCAAACCCAAGGTACGAAAGCTGCACTCTCCATTCATCAAGGTAGAAGATCACAGTCGTGCTTACAAGCCCCTGGTTCATGAGTTGAAGGACTGGCCAAAGATTTACTTTGATGGGGCGTTGGGAAGGGGTCCTTTTGACCCCCCAAAGAGAGACTTGGAGCATGACTGTAGGGAGCCTGCCAAGACTAAAAGGTAGATAAAAAAATTAAATTGTAAAAATTCAGTGTGCCTGATACAGTGTGATACCTTTAGACATGTTAAGAAGGATGCTTCAACACTTCATTACATATAGAAGCATAACTATGTTGAGTTTGTTTAAGTTGTAAGAAATGTTGCTGAAATTAGATGGTCTGGTTTATCAAGGTCTCGCATTGATCTACATCATTTTTTCAGTTGCATTTTGTGTTGATGATTGCAGTTTGCAAAATTATTTTTTTTACAGTTCTGACTGATGGTGTTCTTATACATACAGTGTCTAAGCTCTAATTAGCCATACTTACAATCTTAACCCTTTGATCCTTAGGAGTGACTATCATCTAAATTCTCCTTACAATATCCCCCCCTGAATCACACATTAAGGTTATGAGAGTAAAGGAAATGATCACCAACCAAAGAAGCTTTTGATTGTTGAACAAATTCTCCTTGTCAGCATCTTAGGAAATGTATAAAGAAAAGGATGGAGAAAATGCATACTGATGTTAATGAGTAAAGGGTTAATCATGGGCTGCTCATAGCTGACT